ACACTGAGTGAAATAAGTCAATCAGAGAAAGACAATTGTCGTATGTTCTTCCTGATAGAAGAATTTGAGAGGACATGTGGGGGGCTTGGGGGGTAGGGAAGGAAAAAATGAAACAAGAGGGGATCAGGACAGAGACAAGCCATAAGAGACTCTTAATCTCACAAAAAAAACAGATTTGCTGGGGGAAGGGGGGTAGGGAGAGGGTGGTTGGGTTATGGACATTGGGGAGGGTATGTGCTATGGTGAGTGCTGTGAAGTGTGTAAACCTGGCGATTCATAGACCTGTACCACTGGGACTAATAATACATTATATGTTAATAAAAATTAATAAATCTGGCATCTATACACTTCTGTACCAAAATATATATATACAGACACAATCCAGTAGGTATCAGTATGAGAGTTCACAGACTGGACATAATATCTCTACAGAGATATGTGTGGGGCTCTCAGGCATTATTAAGAAGGTGCAAGAGAAAATTGGATCTCCCCAAATGCATCCCAATGGTTGTGAAAAAAATCTGGTTATGGGCTGTCCAGTGACACCCTTAACAACAATGCTGTGGTTAGACAGTTGGCCTGGAGTGGAAAGTAGTATCAAGAAGGAAATTGACTGGCTTTCTATCTCCAGGATTACCTGAGGCTCTAGGTTTCCATTGGTAAGCTGTTCTTGGGGAGTCACTGTGAAGAACCCCAGGCCCCACCAGTCCCTGTTGGGGGTGCTGGTTGTCTGAGCCCTTGCAGATTGAGATTCCCAAGGGCATTCAGATTCCCAGTGTCCCCCTTCACATGTAGGACGGAGTTGCAGGGCTTTGATTTTTGCCTTTGAGGACATTCTCACTTCCAGTGCTGTGGTTGGACGCTTCGGTGGCATTTAGTAGCAGAGCCTTGAGGGGCCAAGTTGGTAAGCATATATAGGTTGGGACTAGGGTCTTGGACTTCTTTCTTATTCCCTTTTCTTATTCCTTACTCTCCTTTTGGGCCTGATTGTAAAAGATCTAATTAGCAGCTCATAAGTGCCCTTCTAGGGTCCCCTCTGGTCCAACAACCAACTCTTATCGAGTATCTGGGGCTGACTGGTTCAGAGATTTGTCTTTGAGAATGATCTCTCCCTTGGGAGAACTGGGGGAGATAGCCATATTTAATGAGAGCCTCTCTCAACCTAAGAAGGCTGTTGGGTTTTCCTCTTGAATTTGGGTGATGGTAGGCAACTTGGCATAATTCAGAGGCTTAATTAATCTTTGACCTTCTTAATCCCTCAAGGATGCAAGCCTGGAAGTGAGCTTGGTACCAGTTTTTCAGGGGATCATTAGGTTCCAATTGGGATATTGGGCAAGGACAGTGTGGGCTCCATTTGGGAACTGGAAGCCACCAAAGGGGCTGGTAATGGGCTGGCCACCCATGCCCTGGTAATGAAGTTGCTGTTTGTCCCCATATTTCTCAGTGGTGGCCAGGAACCCACATTTCTCTCCCTTGAAGAGGGTTTGATTTAACGAGAGTACTACATCCTTCCATGTTAATTCAAACATGTGAGATTTTGGAAGGCTTCAATATATTTGTGTGGGTTGAATTTTCCAAGGTCCCCCTTTGTCTCAAGTCTTGCAATGAAAAGGGCTCCTATAACCTAGCCATAGCAGCATCCCCTTCCCTTGGTCCTTCTCCAGGTACATGGTGCCCCCGAGCACCAGTACAAGTTCTAGGTAGAGGGAACTGACCTAAGACCCCAACAAACACCTTGAGGCCATAGGGAAGGAGAGACTAGGGGTGGATGATTCTCTGCGAGAGTGCCATTTGCCTATCTACCTTTGGTGTGGGTGTGGTAGTCCTTTGTCCCCTCCCCACCCCTACAGTGGCTGGCCACAGGAGAGAGCAGTCAGGAAGCTGGAATCAATCCTACACTGCTGGCACAGGTCCCTATTTTCCTTTAAGGGCCAGAAACATTGTACATAGGGTACTTCTCTCCGTTTTCCCTCACGTTTGCAAAACAAGTCTAATTGTAAAATAGTATTATATTTTACAAATCTAATTGTAAAAAAGTATTATAATTGATTTTTCTCTTAGGTGGCCATGTCTCCTCCTCCAATTTATATTGTGGCCATGTCTTGGAACAAAAGAAAGTAAATTGCCTTTTCTTCAAGGTTTGCGGGTCAAAATGTTTCCAGATATTCAGGATGCATCTTAAAGGAGTACTGGTGTTGGTCAGGGAATTACAGTTGACCATCTATAGGAAGAGATGAAAAGGCATCCCTTAAGTCTCTTCCTTATAACAGATCAGGAAGACCTTTCCTGATCTGATGGCCTGGGCTGTTGATGTGACTGACGACCAAGGCCCCTGTCAATTCTGCGAGGTGCTGGGAGTAGTTGTGCTTACTCAGGCTAGGCCCTACCTCTAGAGACTGACCCTTGCCCTAATCTTTTTTTTCTTTTTTGTCCCCTCGTTTCCTACCCATGGGACGTGAGGGGTACCAATTATGACCTATTAAATCTCCCTGAGTAGTTGACTTCTTTTGACTCGTTGAAAGTTGGCATGATGGAATAACAGAATTGTCCCATCTGGCATAGCCACAAGAAGAGGTTAGTAAAGGCCACCTTTTGGAGGGATATGATGAGGGAACTTGGGGATATGGAAGCCGCCTGGGTAGACATTAGTTTACCAGCCCTGTTTTGCCATTCCTTCCTATATGTGGTGAAGCCAATTTGTGAGGGGGGGGGTCTACCTTAAAGTATAGATAGGGGAATAACAATTTGTCAGGTGTAGTAAAATGGCACCTGCCACCATATGTGAGTACTCCTTCAGGTAGGTAATATAGACCTAGGCTTGTGGGGATTGGATCCTATCCATCATTTATGCAGAAAGAGCACCCACATTTCTTCTCCGTCTATGCACAGAGGAGATGATGCCAGTGGTCTAATATAGGGATTAAAGCGGTGCAGGTTGGGGGTGCTTCCTGATGCACAGCATGGGCCAGGACCCTGAGGAAGCCTTGGTTGCCAGCCCTTCTGGTCAATATAGTAATACACCCTTCCATCTGACCTGGTAGCTGTGGTAAGGAGTATGACTCAGAGATGCCACCACAGGGCAGATGGCAGAGGAGGAAGGCTGTTCCTCATCATGACAGGGAACTGTGTGTGTGATCCCTTGGAGGCTGCCTGAACCATCTGCAAAAGAATGTCCGAGAAAAGAGCAGTAGAGGGGTTTTTCTCTTGATGCCTGGATGGGCATGTAAGGAGCCAGGTCCCTCAGAGAGCCTTCGGGTGTCCTCCAAAGGGTAGTCTTGGTCAGGACACTCCATTGCTGCTCAGTTTTCTCTAGGTCCCTCACATCCAGTGATCTGGCCTGAAATGAGTTCTGAGTCCTCATTGAACTGATATTCCCAACTTATGTTGGGGGATCAATCAGAAAGAAGCCCAGAGAGCCTGTCACGTGAGATTTGAAAATGGCAGGAATGCTAATCCACTCTTACGTGACTGATGTGTGTCCACTGTTTTAACAAAATGGAGAGAGAGAGAGAGAGAGACGCTTCCTGCTACTCAGTTAGATGTCCTTTATGATGGTGGAGATCCTGGATGAACTCCCAAGAAAATATTTCGGGATTTCTTTTCCTTTAATGCCCAAGGTTCTTGGTCATGCCACTACGAAGAATGAAGAGGTAGACCAGACGAAGAGTGGTAACCAGCAAAGCAGAGTTTATTGAGCGATAGTACAAAACTCCCAAAGAGGAAAGAGACCTGAGAGGGTTGCATTGGAGTTTCGAAGTCTAGGGTTTTTTGGTTTTTTTTTTTTTTTAAGATTTTATTTATTTATTTGACAGAGATCACAAGTAGGCCGAGAGGCAGGCAGAGAGAGAGGAGGAAGCAGGCTCCCCACTGAGCAGAGAGCCCGATGTGGGGCTCGATCCCAGGACCCTGGGATCATGACCTGAGCCGAAGGCAGAGGCTTTAACCCACTGAGCCACCCAGGCGCCCCACGAAGTCTAGGGGTTTTTATGAGCACTTTTGCAGAACTATTTTAAGCAACCATATTGTTCTAAGGCATGCTGATCAGGGCTTTGATCACACATCTATCTACCTATTAGGTTAATGTTTATGTGATGATGGCCTTTTTGGGCTAACATATGGGGACTTATGTCTTAACTGCCCCAGCTCATGATAGTGACAGATGCTTTGTTTCATTTTAGAACATCTTGCAGAAGTCATTTCTACAAAGGCTGGAAACAAAATGCTAGTGCAAAATAGGATGTTTGTACTGTTTTGTCTTAGCTGTCCTGTTTCCATGTTTTCTTGTTGGGGCCCTGGCCAGACTACCTAACTGTCTAACTAATTCCTAACATTGTTACAATGAGAAAAGGTTTACAGAAAGGGGTTTTTTGTTTGATTTTTCTTTTAAGGGAATAAATGTGCTTAGGTTCCTTTTAAATGAAAGTATGCTTTGATGACAGTGGAAAATATTCATCATCTACTCAATAATCCAACCAAAGAAATAAAATGTTCATGCTACTCCCAAAGGTAAAGATACCTAGCAAATCTTAATTATGTCACAAAAGGTCTAAAGGGTTATGTAAAAGAATAAAAGCATTTGGGGATTTCTCAAGTTCCAGATGACCAGACAGAAAATACAAGTCATAAACTAAATAATAATGATTGCAAAGAATTGTATTTTTATGTGCTAAGCACTGTACACACTTTCCATATATTGCATTACAGTATCACAGTTCCTCTGCACTAATCAATAAAAGAACTCCATTCAGCCATTTTAAATCATTAGAGAGCAGCTCAGGAAAACCACCAGAGAAACAGCAACAGAAATGTGAGTTGCTAGATTTGACAACAATTAAAAACAGTTTTTAGAACTACATTAGATGCTAATAGATCTGCAGAGGCTAATTTTAAGTGTATGTTGAAAATAAATCCCAAAGAAGCCTCAGCTTCACCAGTATCATCATAGGCTAAGTTTTACAAACTCATAAAATTAAATTAATACAGAACAGACTAAAAAACTCTTAAAGGGCATCCAGTCTCTTATAGGCTTCTTCGATGAAAGTTAACATATTCTTTATCTGGGATGAGATCTAAGTCTCTCAGCAGAGCTTTATGGTTTGGAATTGATGTCAACATTTCTTTCTGTGGGTATAATAGCACAATTAGTTTAAAATTTTTAAAAACTGAGGTATAATTGACATATAACACCATATTAGCTTCAGATATACCATACAATGATGTGATATTTGTGTATACTGCAAAATGACCACCACGGTAAGTCTAGTTAACATCTAGCACCATACATNCAAAATGACCACCACGGTAAGTCTAGTTAACATCTAGCACCATACATAGTTACAAATTTTCTTGTGATGTGAACTGTTAAGATTTACTCTCTTAATGACTTTGAAATATACAAGACAATGTTATTGACTATAGTCACTCTATTCTACATTACATCTCCATGACTGATTTTATAACTCCAAGTTTGTACCTTTTGACCACATTGACCCACATAAATAGTTTTTAACCTTTTATTATGAGAAATGTCAAGTGTATGTTTAGGGAGAATGGTACACTAAACCTTATATACTCATCACCCAATCTCAGTAATCATCAACTCATTCCTATTCTTTCAAATTTGTATTATTCTATTTTACCTCTGTCTATTCCCTTTCCTTTCACTCTAAATGGATTACAGATAGGACTATTTTAAATTATTTTTTAGAAACTTGAAGACTTTCTACCACTCTAAACATTTACACCATTGTTAGGGCCGATTTAATGTTAAAACCTGTTTAAATATTAGGGCCTGCTTAGCCAGAGCGACTTCATATTACCTGGGTAGCCATATTGTTGTTTACATCTAAAGACTTCATTCCGGGAATAAACACCCCAGTAGTTCCTGGTATCGGTTCCGGGTGTCGATTCCGGGAGTAGATGCCTTAACAATAGAAGCCACATAACTTGGGTCTGCTGTTATGCCCTATAAAACCAGCCTGTGAGATCGGGAGGGGGGTCGCCCTCTTTGGAGGTGGCCTTGGCCGGTCAGTCTGACTTCTGATGCCTGGCATAGAAATAAAGCCTTGCCTTAATTTCAATTTGTATCAGTCTCGCTCCTTTGATAACAGACCCCAACATTATGGGGGCTCGTCCGCGATCAAACGACGAGAACTGAGTCAACATCAGAATTTCTGGGAAAAGCCTCAGGAGGTAAGATCTCGATATTTTATTCTGCGGGATCTGGTCTGTCTGTCTGGTTGTGGAGCTCCAGGGTATAGCCCACCGGGGAGAAGCTGGATGCAGCATAGCTCCCCAGGGCTGGAGTGGATGTGGGGATGCCCCATCCCTCCACTGGGAGATTGCCAGGGGGTTCAAGTCCCCCTACGTGGGGAAGGGACCAGACCTGCCGGTGGTTCAAGTCCCCCTAGGCGGTCAGGGGACTGAGAAAATCCCCGCCAGTGGCAGGTTGTGTTTTTGAGTTGGGATTGTATCTTCCACACCCTTAGACTTGATATCTGGTTGAGGAAGGGCCACTGGGTCTGCAGTTGTCTGTGCCTTGTCTTTTGTTGTCTGTTCTGTTGTTTATTGTGAATCAATGGGGCAAACAAGGAGTAAGGGATCTGTGACACCCCCGAGTCTTATTCTCCAGCATTTCAAGGATTTTCAAGGTAAAGCCACCCAGTCAGGTGACAAGGTTTACCCAGGAAAACTAAAAACACTCTGCCAGCTGGAGTGGCCCACTTTCTCCATAGGGTGGCCATCAGAAGGAACGTTTACCTTGACCCAAATCTACCCAGAGTAAGGTCATCGATTTCCATCAAGACCAAATACTGTACATTGTGGCCTGGCAATACCTGGTGGAAGAGCCACCATCATGGCTCAAGTCTCACCTTCCCCCTACTAACAAAACCATTTCTCTCCCTCTACGGCAGGTCAGATCACCAAAACCAGAACAGAAAGATGAGGGGGAACCAAGGAAGACCATCCTGCCTCTGTAGGACATGGAGGACATAGATTCTCCCCCTCCTTATCCGTCCCCTAAACCTGACTCCCAGTCCCAAGATACCCTTACTAGTCCACCTCATACACTGTGGTCAGGATCCACCTATGAGACCACTGAGCAGAAGGCCCTGATCCTTCCCCTTCCCTCTACCCACCTCTGCCGCCCCCTACCCCACTGGCTCCATCGGCCCCGATGCTGCCTCTCCATGAGGTCGCTCCACCGGACAGGAGAGGGCACCCCCACCTAACCTATATCCCTTTCTCCTCTTCTGACATCTATAACTGGAAGGCACAACATAAATCCTTTTCTGCCCACCCTCAGGATTTAATTAGTCTCTTGGAAACTGTCTTTCTACCCACCAGCCTACCTGGGTGGATATTCAGCAGCTCCTTATGGCCCTCTTTAATGCAGAAGAGAGGGATCGCATTATGAGAGAGACCCATAAGGTGATAAGTGAGATACTTGGCAGCAACCTCAATCCCCAGCAAATGGAGGACTACTGCCCAAAGGAACCCCCCGACTGGAACCCAAACTCTGATAAAGGTAGGGAGAGCCTATGTTTCTACAGCTAGGCTCTGCTGGGAGGCCTCCATGCGGCTGCGAGGAGACCTATAAATTTATCCAAAATTCATGTGGTGACTCAAGGTATGAATGAATCTCTGGGGGCTTTTCTAGAAAGGCCTATTGAAGCCTATAAAATGTATAGCCCGATCGACCCTGAGGCGCCCAAAAATCAGAGGGCATTAAATCTTGCCTTTGCCAGTCAGTCAGCCCCAGATATAAGGAAGAAACTTCAGAAAATTGAAGGATTTGAAGGAAAGAATCTGACTGAGTTAGTGGGAATAGCAGAAAAGGTGTTTAACAACAGGGATACACAAGAAGATGAAAAACAGACTAAAAAAATAGCTAAAGTTTTGGCATTACATGAGGCGGGAAGGAGACAGGGAAAAAAAGGTCAGTGGAAAAGAAAAAGGCAGGTAGGAGATAGTCAATGGAAAGAAAAGCCTAAACACAGAGAAAGCAGATGGGAAGGCTTAGATTCAGATCACTGTGCTTACTGCAAGGAAAAAGAACACTGGGCCAGAGAGTGCCCTAAGAAGAAAATGGCAATGCTGGCCACCAAAGACTGAAGGGGCCGTGGTTCGGAGCCCCTCCCTGAACCTTGGGTTAAAATTGAGGTGGAGAGGAAATCAATTGATTTTCCGGTGGACACGGGAGCCCAATTTTCATCATTACTAAAGCCTATGGGAAAACTATCTGGAGAGGAAGTCTGGGTACAAGGGGCAAATGGCACAGAAAGACAGAAATGGACAACAGAAAGGACTTTAAATTTGGCCTTGGGAGTAGTCAAACATTGATTCTTGGTCCTCCCTAATGCCCTGTATAACCTAATGGGAAGAGATCTCCTCCACAAACTATGGGCTGGCATTCAGTTCTCAGAAGGAGACATGACTGTGACTTTGGGACAACCCACTGTGCAGATGCTTGTGGCAACGGTAGGTGAACATCTCCTTTACGAGCCAGTCTCAAAACCAGAGATAAGGGAGGGAAGCTTTCTCCAAACCCTACAGGTCGAATTTCCCGAAGTCTGGGCAGAAGGGAGGCCTCCTGGCCTGGCCAAGGGACAGCCTCCAGTAGTGGTACAGTTAAAAGCAACAGCTACAGCCATTCAAGTCCGGCAGTACTTCCTCCCCTGGGAAGCAAAGGAAGGGATCAGAAAACACATTAACCGCCTCCGAGGAGATGGGATTCTAGTTCCTTGCAAGTCTCCATGGAACATACCTTTACTGCCTGTCAAAAAGGCTGAAACTGGGGAGTATCGGCCTGTTCAGGACTTGCAGGAAGTTAACAAATGGGTTGAAGATATCCATCCGACGGTGCCCAACCCCTATACCCTACTCTCCCTCCTAGGCCCCAAAAGAACTGTGTACACCGTCTTAGATCTCAAGTATGCATTTTTCTGCATGCCTTTGGCAAGGGAGTCTCAACCCCTCTTTGCTTTTGAGTGGTCTGACCCACAGGAAGGGTTCCAGGGCCAGCTCACCTGGACAAGACTTCCCCAAGGATTCAAAAATTCACCCACCATCTTTGACAAGACGCTACATGAGGATTTGTGTGAGTACAGAATCACCAACAGAGTCACTCTGTTACAGTACGTTGATGACTTGCTAATAGCCGCTGAGGACTATGAGTCATGCTTGCAGGGGACAAAAACTCTCTTACAGACTTTGCAGGAAAAAGGGTATCGGGTGTCAGTGAAGAAAGCACAACTTTGTCAGAGCCACACCACTTATTTTGGCTTTGGTCTCCACGAGGGAGTGCGTTCACTGTCTGAGTCCAGGAAACAGGTGATCACAGGATACCCCCGCCCCACCACGACCCGACAAGTGAGGGAGTTTCTTGGGACGGTGGGTTACTGTAGGCTGTGGATACCACGGTTTGTGGAGATTGCCTGACCTCACTACGAACTGATTAAGGGAGGACTCACTATGGTAGAGTGGACAGCTGAGGCAGAAGGAGAATTTCAAAAATTACAAACAGGCTTACTGAGTGCCCCAGCACTGGCCATCCCAGATGTTACCAAGCCCTTCCACTTGTATGTGGATGAAAAGGCAGGTGTGGCCAAAGGGGTTTTGACTCAGACTCTGGGGCCTTGGCAAAGGCCAGTAGCCTATCTTAGCAAGAAACTAGATGCAGTAGCGGCTAGGTTCCCCCCGTGCCTTTGCATAATTGCTGCCACGGCCCTCCTGGTCAAGGATGCAAGTAAATTGACTTTGGGTCAAAATCTCATCTTGACCACCACTCACGCTATTGAAGGCATCCTCCAGACCCCACCAGACCAGTGGATGACAAACGCCCGAGTGACAGGGTATCAAGCCCTCCTCCTCAATGAACCGAAAGTGATTTTCAGGCCCCTGGCGGCGCTAAATCCAGCCACGTTGCTGCCAGAGGAGCTGGCTGACCACCCTCATGACTGCAGGGAGGTCCTAACCCAGATCACAGGAGTAAGGCCTGACCTCAGAGACACTCCCCTCCCGGATGCAGAGAGGATTCTGTTCACAGATGGGAGTAGGTACATGATTGATGGAAAGAGGTATGCAGGGGCTGCAGTGGTTTCTCCTGAACAGGAGCTCTGGAAGATGGCCCTGCCACAGGGAACCTTGGCGCAAAAAGCGGAGCTGATTGCACTCACCAAGGCACTGCAGATGGCCAAGGGTAAGACCACCAACATCTATACAGACAGCAGGTATGCCTTTGCTGCTCTCCATATGCATGGGGCTATTTATAAAGAAAGGGGCCTATTGACAGCAGAAGGAAAAGAAATTAAAAACAGAAAAGAAATATTGGCTCTCCTCCCGGCTATTTGGGACCTGAAAGAGGTGGCTGTTATGCATTGCCCAGGGCACCAAAAGGGGACAGGAAACCAATTAGCAGATCGAACAGCAAAGCAAGCAGCCAGGGAAATGGCTCAAGAACTGTTACACTCCTGGCTCCAGCCCTACCAGAAAAACCAGATTATTCAGAGGGAGATTTAAAATATTTACAAAAATGGACTAAATTAGACTATGAAGGGGATTGGGCTAAGACTAGGGCAGGAAAGTTAATTCTTCCTCAAAGACTAGGAAAAAAATTAGTAAGCCAAATACATCAGGGCACTCATTTAGGGACACACAAGCTTAAGGAGCTCGTGGGTAAACAGTTCCAGGTTTCTAAATTAGGGTGTATGGCACAGGATGTGGTTGACAGATGTGCTCAATGTCAGGCGGTAAATGCAGGAAGAACTAGGATGGGAAGAGGAAAAAGAGAAAGAGGAAGGGAACCAGGAATTTATTGGGAAGTAGATTTTACAGAGATGAAACAGGGAAAGTATGGACACAAGTATATGTTAGTTTTTGTGGATACCTTTTCAGGCTGGGTAAAGGCTTTTTCCGCCAAACATGAAACGGTAGGAATGGTAGCCAAAAAGTTACTAGAGGAAAGAATTCCTAGGTTTCAGTTGCCTCTCACGATCAGGTCAGACAACGGCCCTGCATTTGTGAGTTCAGTCTCACAGGCATTGGCCTTGGCCATGGGCACTAATTGGAAACTACACTGTGCCTACCAGTCCCAGAGCTCCGGACAAGTAGAAAGAATGAACCAGACTCTTAAAGAGACCTTAACAAAGTTAATTCTGGAGACTGACGGTGGATGGGTGGATCTTCTTCCCTTTGCCCTCCTTAGGGTGTGATGTACACCCTATTTAAACAAGGTGACCCCATTTGAAATAATGTTCTGGAGATCCCCCCACCCCGCTCTGCCCTTGGCTACAACAGGTTGCCCTAGCAGAAATGACTGATCAGTCTGTACTCCAGTCACTGCAGGCATTACAGTCTGTCTTAAAAAGAGCCCACGCAGGGATCCGAGCTGCCTACACTGAGATGGAGACAGAGGTGAAGCCGCACCCTTACCAACCCGGGGACTTGGTTTGGATACACTGTCACTGAGTGGAAAACTCGGAGCCCCACTGGAAGGGACCATTCAGGGTCATCCTGACCACCCCCACGACAGTAAAAGTAGAAGGCATCAGGGCCTGGATTCACGCGTGTCACATCAAACGAGCCAAAAGCAAGGACACCACCCCCTCCCCAGAAATGGGAGCCACTGCCAGTGGATCCACCAGCCGTGGACTAAAACTACGACTCAAAAGGGTTTCATGACTTGGTCACTTTTAACCCTGTTCCTACTCAGCAGCAGCCAGGGGACACCTCATCGGCCTAAAACAGCCAAGGTCAATGACACCTCAGGTCAGCTTGTTTTCACCCTCGATCTCTGTGATTTGATGTCAGAAATAAATGTAAAATTGCTCGAGGGTAGCACCCTCTTTGGGATGGGTGGCCGGTATCCAGTTCAGGGATGTGGGGACCAGTCATACGAGTTTCACTTGCAAAGTTACCAATTTTATGCCTGTCCTGCTAACGGGGAACCTAATTGCCAAGGGGCAGGGGAATTCCACTGTGCAGCCTGGGGATGTGAAACAATAGCCCCCTGAACACACCATGACATGTATATTGACCTCGTCCGAGTTAGACCACCAGTCAACCAGGAAAATTGCCAGGTCGGAAAATGCAACCCCATACAGATTACAGTAAAGTCATGGCAGTCGGGGTCATCGGGAAGTGTTAATTGGGAGGCAGGAAAAACTTGGGGTCTAAGACTATATGTATGGGGAAAAGATCCAGGTACAGCCTTCACCATCCAAAAGAAACAAAAACTAGGGAGCCACCCCGGCCGATAGGGCCGAACCCAGTTTTAAATCCTCCCAAGCCACTAAAAACAACCAGACCACCCGCCACCGCAACCTCAAAAGAGACTGTCACAAAAAATAAAAAAGAGAGTGTTGACAATGACTACAACGCTGCCAAAGTTTTACTCCCACTGGTAGATTCAATGTTTAGCTTTTTAAACGCCTCAGACCCCAATATTACTCGAGACTGCTGGCTATGCTTAAACCCTCAGCCCCCATATTATATTGGACTAGGGGCCAATCTTATTGTAGGGACTCAGAAGGGACAGATTAAAAATGAAAGTTCTTATAACTCTTGCGAGTGGGGAAGGGTACCAAGACTAACCTTAGGGGATATAAAAGGAAAGGGACTTTGCCTTGTGACACAAAAAGGAAAACAAACTTCCCCATATAGAGACCTATGTAAGGCCATAATAGTCCCTACTGTCTTCACTAACTTCCTTAAGGCCCCCACCAGATCCTGGTTTGCTTGCAGTTCAGGACTTATGCCATTCCTTAATCTTGCTTTGTTCCAAAACTCTTCCTAGAACGAACTCTGTATAACTGTCCACATTCTTCCCCAGGTAGATTATTATGGAAGACCTGAGGGATTCCAACATCTTACTGCAGGGATAGAACGAACAAAGCATGGGGTTCCCATCCAAATCCCAGCACTAGTTGTGGCAGGAATAGCAGGGTCCACAGCAGTAGGGACCACAGCTTTAATAAAGGAAGAAATAGATTTTGAGGCTCTTGGGTCTCAAGTAGATACTGACCTATGAAAATATAGACAAACTGATTCTTTGAACTCATTAGCTGAAGTAGTACTGCAAAATAGAAGAGGGATTGATATACTATTCCTAGAAAAAGGGGGGCTCTGCATAGCCTTGGGAGAAGAATGCTGCTTCTGGGCAAACCATACTGGAGTCATCAAAAACAGTCTAGCAGTCATTAAAAGGAGACTAGATGAATGCGAGCAACAACGCAAGAACTCCCAGGGATGGTTTGAAAGTTTTTTCAGCTGGTCCCCATGGATGACTTCCCTATTATCAGCAATTGCAGGCCCCCTGGCTTTACTATTACTAATGTTGCTTTTTGGCCCCTGCATTATAAATGCCCTAATGTCATTTGTACAGAAGAGAATTGGTGCGGTAAAAATGTTAGTCCTACAAACTCAATATACAACAAGAGAACATGGGACTGACTGAAAAGCCAAGGAATTGACTAATCTTCAAGAAAAAGGCGGGGGCGGATGTTAGGGCAGATTTAATGTTAAAACCTGTTTAATTATTAGGGCCTGCTTAGCCAGAGCAACTCCGTATTACCTGGGTAGCCATATTGTTGTTTACATCTAAAGACTTCATTCCGGGAATAAACACCCCAGTAGTTCCTGGTATCGGTTCCGGGTGTCGATTCTGGGAGTAGATGCCTTAACAACAGAAGCCACGTAACTTGGGTCTACTGTTATGCCCTATAAAACCAGCCTGTGAGATCGGGATGGGGTCGCCCTCTTTGGAGGTGGCCCTGGCCGGTCAGTCTGACTTCTGAAGCCTGGCATAGAAATAAAGCCTTGCCTTAATTTCAATTTGTATCAGTCTCGCTCCTTTGATAACGGACCCCAACAACCATAACAGCTACTGGGAACCTGTGAAAACAGAGACCAGTATATAGTCTGCTACAAATAACACAACATTATTTCATGAAGAGTTATAGGCCATTGTTATAGGCCATATAGGCATAAACAAACTCAACTATTGGAATTTACTTCCAGAAATCTACCTTGCAGTTATGACCACACAAATATCTAAAGATACATATACAAGCAACACTGAGCATTATTTGTAACTGCAAAAATCATTTATTTCCACCAGTAATTCACGAATTATAGTATGGTACAATGCAATGTTATACAGTTATTGACAAGAATGAGAGATCCACATGAAAGATGCTCACAAAATAAGGTGTTCAAATTATTCTGTCAAGTCAGAAAAATAATGTTGCCTACAAACATATCATAGATTTCATTTGTCTTTTAAAAAAGGAAAAGGAGGGGCACCTGGGTGGCTCAGTGGGTTAAGCCTCTGCCTTCGGCTCAGGTCATGATCTCAGGGTCCTGGGATCGAGCCC